GGTTCCTCTTATTTGTTATTGATACTTTTGATATCTGGTTTCAAGTTTTAATGCAGTACGTTCTAAGGACTTCCGTTTTCTGTTTCCCTTCAGTATTCTAAGTTAGCTCTTGCTTCGTAATACACCTTGATGATTTTCGTAATGTATATTCTATCCACTTCGAGAGTGGAAGAGCTAGAAACGAAGTCGTGAAAACTGCAACAGAAGGGAATAAGAGACAAACATATGGCACAACAAGGAAACTGCTATGGCAATGTAGAAAACCATAGATAACGGTCAAGGACAAACAAGGTAAACCAATCACTGGGATTCAGAAACAAATAGATAGATAGATAGGACACTTTCAGAAACTCTTAAATAGGCTAGGTGCATTGTGTCAACAGAACATCGAAACAGCACATACGATCGAAGGAAACAGGATGGCCATAAGGCAAGTCAAGATGAAGAATATAAAGGGACTAAAGGACATAATAGCTGAAGCACTGAGGTCCGATGAAAGTAACCGCAAAGACGCTTCACGTTCTGCTCCGGAAGGTTTAAGAGGAAGAAAAAGTGCCGACAGAAAGGAGATCTGAACAAATGTGAGAACTACAGAGGCATCATACTATATCGGTACCAGGAAACCTTTTCCACAAAGTGTTGCTGGACAGGATAAAAGACCCAGCAGACCCTCAACTTCCAGATCAATAGGCTGGATTCCGTAAGGATCGGTCATGCACAGACCAAATTAGACACTATGGATCATTGTTGAACGATCACTTGAGTGGAACTCGTCACTATTCATCAACTTTTTTGAACATAAGATGGCATTTGACTGCGTGGATAGGAGAACCTTATCGGGGCTGAAACGTGGAGAACTTCCACAACCATAATAAAAAAGTACACGTTTTTATAAACAATTGTCAACGTATGACACCGAATGTCCGTTGGTCGGGTTTTATCAGCAATAGCCTTCTGTGGGAGAGAATAAACTAGCTTCTACCTGGAGAGGAAATTGGGAAACGACGTTGAAAGTGGATAGGATACACATTGGGGAAATCATCAAACTGCACCACGAAGCAAGAGCTAACTTGGAATCCTGAATAAAAATGGGAAAGAGGAACACCAAAGAACACACTGCACCGAGAATTAGAATCAGACATGAAAAGGATGAATAGCAACTGGAAAGGACTGGAAAGGATTTCCCAGTATAAAGTTGTATGGAGGATGGTGAGGAGAGGCCTACTCTCCTCCACGAGGGGTTACAGGCGTAAGTAAGCAGATAAGTAATTTTGATACTTTCGTTTTGTTTTGTAAAGAAAACTTCCCTAAATACTCTGGGCAGAGAATCCTGTATTGTGCGAAACATTTATTTTTGTATAAAGCCATTGGTAATAACAATCAGCCTTACTATAGGTGATTTTAATGCATCTTTTATTAATTATTGTGTAGTGGCAAACAAATCCCTAAAATAAATAGCTCTTTAGGTCTTCCACATTGAATGCTGACCATATTGGTTTTAATGAACTTACCTAGCTGAAGGCGCTCGGTCATGTATGAGCACCAGATCACGAGTGGGAAAACCGTGCTCAACGTCCCATGAAATCGCTAGCCAGTCTAGATCGGTCAATCCTCGATATATTGATAGCATATCAAATATATCTTCGAACCTCCTCACTTCTGTCTTTTGATTTCACTTGATGGATACGATTCAAATTAGGTGTTACTGGTTAAAGCGTTGTCAAACTCCAAATACCTGTGGCATCTGCAATTGAAATTTAGAAGTAGGGCGACGAAAAACATCGTCTAATGAAAGAGCTACTAAAGACCCCAATCTCTCCAGCTTTATTTTAGGAAGTTGGAGATCTTACCAAATATGACTTGCAAAACTCCTCTTTTGTTTTGGACCCTGTCTTTACGTACAGTGATGATATCCGTCAGAAAAAGTCCTTTCCACTCTTATCGGAGTAGTGGTCATGCTGTCAATTTGTTCGAGTTTATTGCTGATATGGTCTGAAAAGCAGTTGTACCGGCCGATCCTCACTTGTGGAAGAATTAGTGTGGGAGTATGATCTTGATTTATCATATCTCTCATAATCCTCTTCATTCCAACAGATGTCTTTCACATTTCATTATTAGATCACTATATTCAAAGGCCTGTATGCGTACCCAAAGAAAGAGTAGCGCGCTCCAAGAAATCAATCAGTTAGTGTAAACTCGTCACAAAGATAATGGATATTGGAAGAGGACATTCATCTAGAGTAGAAAGTCGTGAAAACATTTCAGTGGTCAGGATAACTAAATTGTGGAACTCCCTATAAGAGAAAATAAAACTTTAAACATTTATGGAGTCTTTCAGAAGAAACCTAGATACTCAATTTGATCCTATAGGTACTGAAAGTGTTCCCCCATGAACACAGCCACTACTAACGACTCGTTTTACCACACAGTTTCAATATGAATGTAACAAGGACCACAATGTTTACGATCAAAAAATCTATCTTACTACCCAGACACAGATCTTGACGAGTAAATAACTTTAAGAACCGGAAGCTGCGTCCTCTCGTCATTTGCCATTTCTGATCCAAAGAATCTGTCATAAGCTTTACGTCCGGTAGATTACTTTTCTTTTTGAATTTCACTCAATCTAGTGCTTATCTGTGGTTTTGCCTCACCTTATTATTCTGTTTCTCAGTCTTCACGTTAAGGCTAGTTTCAGTCTATCCCAACTTTTGTACCATCCGTTTTTATTCGCGTTTAGTGTACTGTTTTTTGTTTTACCGTCGTAGACTTTTTCTAGAACCCATATGACCATTTACGTCATTAAGGCCGTGAAGAATTCAAGCAATCGACCCGGTTGCCGTTTCTCTGTTACATCTGGCATGCAATGTGACAATTGAAAAGGTTAGTTCTACGAAGCGTATACAGACCTTAAAGTAACTGCTCACAACAGACTCAGTAAGTTGGATCATAAGTGCGTGTGTGTCACGTGCAACACGAATGCTGAAGTTTTGCTGAGCAACATCATTCTCTTGACATGTCTACGGAATAAATTGCCAGCAAACTTGAAAAAAGATCGTCCCAAAAACGTTATACAATCAATGACGCGCAATGTAAACAAGAAAGGGGATCTAAAAATCACTAATATCGATGGAGCATGTAATAGCACTAGTGAAGACATGCTGAAACTCAGCACCATCACAATATCGGCGGTACTAGACTCCCTCAGTAGACTTGGGTCCCCTTGCACACGATCCATGGATGCAACGTTGAATCCTAGAAACTCTGTGAGTGATTGGAACCTCGTTAACAAAGTTAAAGAGATCCGGGCGTCACCGTCTAAGGAGCTGAATATTGTGGCGAAATCAGATGGTGATTTGGCCTAACAGTTTGCCTTCAAGAATGTCCAACCGGAAAGGCGCTACGACCCCCAAGCAACAAGGTTCTCAGCATGAACGTTCCCGAAGACCTTAAAAAAACAATAACGGTTCGCAATGATCCTATCATAATCCTGGACATTATATACAGGCCTGACCTTCCCCCCAGCTTGCAGAACAAGCATGGTAGGATGCTCTGGGAAGTGTTAAACAACAACATTGAACTTCCCAAAATAGTCATTGACGGTCACACAGCTCGCCCGGGAAAGAACTCTAAGCAACAAAATCACACAAAACTACTTCGTTTAAAACTCACTAACGCTACCGACATAGAGGATATCCTACTGGCAAGTCACTTACTGAAATCAGGTGCGAACGTAAGAATACTGCCTGATATGCCGTATTCTGAGAGCAATCTCCTCCGGAGCATCCCTAAGGAATCTCGAGAGAAGTTTTTCCGCGAAAGAAATATCACTGTGAAGGTATATTCGGAAACACGAACCCTGACCACACTAACTGTGATATGCGGAAATGGAAATTCATCAACCACACAGTGACTCAATAAGTGGGGAGATTAACCAAGAAGGACGGAGATTCTAGACCCCGACTGATGAAGATAACCTTCCCATCCTCCCATATGGCGGCTGCAATTTTGAAAACATTTCGTGCCAACAGACGTCGGTCGCTAATGGGTATCTATATGCATTCGGATAGGCCACATGACGCTACATGGTGCTACAGAGTAGTTTGTTCCTCAAATGATCCCCAAAATATACAAACAACCTATAGTCAACAAGAACCTCACTCTTCGTTTGCTAAGCCGCAAAAGACAACTTGGGCGACTTCTCTCTTAAAGGACCCCAAGTTGAAGAAGATTTAGGAGTACTGGTACCCTAGGATTTGAAGTCTTACGCTAACTGTGACAAAAAATGCCTTTCGAGCAAACCTTGCACTGGTAACATTGAAGAGCATTTTCGGCCAGTTTGACGAAAGAGCTCTTCACATAATCTTCAACAGTTTAATTCATCCCCATTTGGAGTAAGGAGACATAGTATTTCCTTCCTCACTTCAAAAGGATAAGGACACTCTGTAACATATCCGATGGCGAGCCACGAAATCAGTTCGGGTACTCAAATTCAAGCCTTATGAAGAGTGCCTCCAATCACTAAAATTTTACCCGTTAGAGTACAGGCGTATTAAAAGTGACCTTCTCATGGAGTTCTCAACACTTCTGAACATCCTCTTAAACACCTATTTAAGTTTAACTCCAACACAAACCTAACGGGAAAACCCAGTAAGTGGAGACAGAATTCAGCAGAACGGACTGTAGACACAACTTCTACTGCCTAAGAGTAGTTAAATGCTGGAATTTGCTGCCGGATGAGCTAGCCCGAGCGACTTTCCAGGAGTCCGTTGTGAGTAAACTTGACATATTCTTAAGGACTTACTATGACTTACCAATTTCTTTTCCCTCTTTTATCATTAATATGCCTAGGTTCCTGCCTGAAGGTATTGACGATTCACTGCTACTAGACACAGAATCTCGTGAAGCGAAAGCTTCTTCTATTCTTTCCACAACCATTTCAACCATTTGGATAACCTTGCCTATCGAAATTTGGAGTTTGAATGTCTTAAAATTTTAAGGTCAGGCTCACTGTTATCGAGTGGTCGTCTGTTTCAACGACATAGTACGTTCATGTTAGTGTTTATGTCTTCATTGATATTCAATCACTTATTCCTGATATGATTTCAATTAGTCCCTCTGATACATACATCCTTGGGTAGTACAAGCAGACGGAATCGGGCAAATAATGAAGTTTGTTTAATACTTTGGAGATTTCTTAAGAAAAGTTGGGGTGATCTTGGGATAAGATGCATTAGACTAACTCCTTTTTACAGGGATAAAATAGTTCAGGCTTTCATCTGGACATTACCATTTAAGGAAAATATCCTAAAGTTGACACCTTAACCTTTGCTTGAGCTCATATCAAATATCCTGAATGCTTTCCAAATAGTTTGATTTTCACAGTCTGTATATTTTTCGCCGACATTAACATTGGTTAATCTGCGACCGCCTATATACCATAGGTGTCCTGTGTAGTTGATATTATTTAAAAAATAACTTTTGAGAAAAGCCGTTTATTCACATGAATTAGATTTACAGTCTCCAAGACTATTTATATCCAGATTACAATCGAACAACATTTCAACTGATAAAAGTTTTTCATCGTTAATGGTTGTCTTCTGTAATCTAAGGGGAGAAATAGTCTGGATTGTACAGGTTTTACTGAATACATATATTTACTAGGAATGGCTCTTATGTAGACTTGTTAAATCTAATTTTATTCAGTGCACTGGACCTAAGTGAAAATGTCGGTCTATGTTTAAGAAACGTCTATCTGTAAAAAATGGCAACAATATAAACGTAGAATTCAACGATCCATCGGTTGTCAATATGGGGCACTGTTTGTCACTTGAACTCTGAAACGGGACAACAATCAACACGTTGAGGGGTTTTTGTAAAATGTTCGTTACAAGTTAAGGTAAGAATTACAGTGATATTATGCAGGGCTTATGCCTGTGCCTGAAAAATGAAAAGCAAAAGTTAATAGTGAGGATTGTGACTTATGTTACCTTTCTATCTACAATAACGCTTATTCTCTTAATTTCTCATGTAGTAAAAGTGACCTGTCGAGGTAGAACCCTAAACTTTGGGAAGATCTTCCTCACTAACATTGGACGTTGAGAGTTTCCATGCTAATGGACCATGTGAATAGGTCACAAAAAGAATTCTTACTTTCTACACTGTCGTAGAATTGAAACTTACATTTTTTGGCAGCTTTCATCAACTTGAACTTGGTCTCTTAATCTGGTTTCACTATATCATATAAACTAGTCATAACTTATTATTAGTTGGTTACTCATCAGCCTAGTTATTATTGACATTAAAAAAGTAAAGCAATTACAAACTAAATCAGTTGACAATTAGATTTATCTCGAATATCTCATTGTTGAAGACATCTAACGCTTTCAATTCTTCTTCAGGGAACCGTAAAATAGACAGTCCCCTGCCGATTTGCTTCGATCATCACATATAGTTGTTTTTAATAGCAATATCACCTGTCTCATATTCACTAGCATTTAGCAATGGTGGTTCGAAGTCTTTTTATATTTACATTCATTTTTTGGTAAACCATCAGACTGAAAATTGCTTTAAACCAAGCTTTTTCATCCCAAATTGCTCTGTTACTTAGCATCGAAGTACCTTGTGATGGCAATAACTGCTTTGCCCGAACTTATACAAAGTTTTAGAAATAACAGGCTTACTTTCCGATTGGAGAGTCTGGAGTTTCTGACAACCTAAGCTTAAAGTATTCAGCTTGACCGTACCTAGCCTACATTTCTGCGACATTCAAGTTGAAAGGATCATTCAAGTAGTCAGGTTTTCTCTTCATTGTGTTTCTGCGAACAACGAACAGAAATAACGCACTTGCCGTTTGGATTTATCTGTGTGTTGGGGTAGTGTGTTCACATCATGCTAGTTATTGTATCCAACGGCTAAACCAAATCAGACGCAGAACTGAAATCATCGACAGGAAAATGATTAGTGATTTTTTAGAAAAGTAAAATAGTCCAGAACCGAACTTTTAATAGTCAGCTAACTGTCGTCCGTATCCACCTTGTTCATTAACTCGACATGCGGGCAGATGCACTTTTTAACAAAAGAACAGATCGAGCGAAAAAAATTTCAATTAGTTTTTTATCATGGCTTTACATTAATATATATGATTTAAAATAATGAAATAATGCATTTTTTATTAACAAGCCGCTTGGTCGCTACAACGAGGATCTCTTTCTTAACCAATTCATTCTTTCAGTCAGTCAGTAACAACGTAGAACTTCATACGTACGTACATCATTTCGAGTTGCCACACCACATTAGCACAGAGATGCAGTGGTCGATTCAAATCCCGTAGTGCTAGATGTAGTGAAATTATAAGCTGTAATCAGAAAAATTAGGGTTTGAAGATGTTATTCAAGGAGTATAATCCAGTGAAATAAATTTGGATAGAGAAAAAAAGGATATGGAGAATTCAGAAGATTAGAATTTGGGAGAACAAAGAGTGGATGCACCTGCGCTATTGCAAACGATTTTGAGCCATGTCATTGAGGGTCTCTAACCATCGGTTGCTATCATCTCGCGGTCCCCAACCAGGTAGTCTACACCTACCGACATGACTCAGACCACTTGTCAGTGACTTCATGGACTTGTGCCATGTTTTGGTCTGGCCGCCCCTAGCTTTCTTCCAACCTACTCCTATACCACTGAGCATCGCACGTCGAGGCAGTCGGTGGTTGGGCATACGTAACACATGTCTCAGCCATCTCAACTGATGAAGTTTCACTACGTCATCAATTGATTTGCCATCCTTACCTAATACCCGTTTCCTAACAACTGCATTACTTACTCGATGGTCCCAGGATATACGAGCAATGTTTCGAAGACACCTATGGTCAAATACTAGTAACCTACGAATATCCTCTACTCTACTACCGGCCATGTTTCACTGCCATAAAGTAGGACGGAACGAACTGCTGCGCAGTAAACACGTTCTTTGGTTGATAGACGGATATCTCGCCTACGCCATAAATGACGCAAGTTGGCAAAAGCTAGTCGAGCCTTCTGTATCCGTGCTGAGATTTCGTCACACACCAGACCACAAGGGCTGATGAGACTTCCAAGATAAGTGAAGCGGTCGACACACTCAACTACTTCACTCCCTATCATTAGTTCGGGTGTCAATCCAACCCTATCCTGAAGCAACATTTTGCATTTGGAGGGGGAGAATCGCATGCCGAACATGCTTGCATTGTTGCTTAGAGTGGTCAGAAGACTTTGCATTTTGTCAGCGTCTTCACCAAATAAAACTGTCATCAGCATATTCTAAGTCAACAAGTGAACCTCCCGGTAGAAGTTCAAACCCTGAAAATCTAGATGAGGAAAGTGTTATCTCTAAAAGCGCATCAACGACAAAGTTGAACAAGAATGGAGAGAGTGAACAGCCCTGACGAACACCACTTGAGGTAATCAATTCTGATGACAGTTCGCCATAAGCTCTCACTCTACCAGTTGTGTTCGAGTAGAGAGCCTTTGTAAGGTTAATGCACTTCTTTGGTACTCCTTTCAGTGACAAACACTGCCATAGAACCTTTGGATCAACAGAGTCGAATGCCGCCTTAGGGTCGAGAAATACTACCATTGTGGGGCGTCTGAATGTGTGTCTGTGTTTTAGAACCTGACGTTGTGTGAATATGTGGTCTATACAACCACGTTCAGGTCGAAAACCAGTCTGATTTTCTTTAGTCTGTTCTTCACGAGCTTTAGTTAGGCGTCGAAGTATTATTGAAGCTAATATTTTAGACACTATATTAGTCAAACTGATTCCTCTGTGATTGTCACAAGAGGACTTTTGTCCTTTCTTATAGACTGGCACAATCAGTGATTGAGACCAGTCAGATGGGATTACGTTCAGTTCCCGAATTCTACCTAAGACCTCAGTTAATCTCACTGCTAATACTGAACCACCATCCTTAAAAATCTCAGGAGTAAATATGTCAGGGCGTACTGTTCTCCCTTGCTTCAGATTTCCTATAGCTTTTTCAACTTCGTAAAGAGTCGGAGGACCTAAATTAACTTGCCATTCAGGTTGACTAGAGATCGTGGGAAACCGAAGTGTGGCTGAAGGTCAGTTGAACTGATCCCTAAAGCGTTCTGCCCATCGATCCAATCTCCTAGATTGAGAGTGCTTAGTATGTCCATCTTTCTCTGAGGGTGTTTCGCTAACAGTCGGTTTCCTAATACCGGTTTCCTTAACAAATCTGAACAATTGTCCGCTATTGCTTATTGCCGCTGCCTTTTCCATCTCTCTTGCTTTCTCTACCCACCACTGTTCACGATCATTGCGTAGACTTCTTGTTAGTTTGCGCTTAAGATGACTCCGCTCTTCATTATGTTCAGAGCCAGGTGGAATGAGTGCGGTAGATGCTGCTGAGATCCAGTGTTTCTCCCTAACCTTGTGGTTGACCTTACTAGCAGATATCACTGCTGTTTCCACAGCTTTTCGTATATCATTCCATGCTGCCTCGGGGTGGGCATCACACATGGCTGCCTAACTGTTTTTCTAGTTGTTCCTGAAATATACTCTTAGGTTGACTATCATTAGGCATATCCCTAAGAGGTTTCCTTGCAGCGTCTTTCCTACGTGCAGTAAGACGCAGGCAAATACGCGCTCGCACTGGAGCATGATCTGAATCTAAGCATGTGCTTCAGAATGAGCGACAGTCTTCTATCGAGCCCCTCCATCGGTGGCTGATAGCGATGGTCAGTCAGTCAGTAACAATGTAGAACTTCGTACGTACGTACATCAGTTCGAGTTGCCACACCACATTAGCACAGCGATGGGATCTATTTGGGTCCAACGTTGGGACGAATTAGGGGGTCGCCATGTTCAAAGATGTTTTTCCTTATGCTTAAAGTTAGTATTTGCAAGAAAGAGGCGGTTATCTGAGCATAGCTGCAACAGACAGTCGCCATAATCTGTTCTTTGAGCCACGAAGCTATAAGATCCACCCAGGTGTCTTTCCCTATCGCTTAGTCTACCTACTTGAGCATTAAAGTCACCGGCCACTGTTACTACATCCGAGCGCCTAGCTTTTCGGAGAAGGTCGGAGAGCTTTCTGTAAAACTCATCTTTTACATCATCTGCTCTGCAGTCAGTGGGAGAATAGGCAGAAACGACGGAGAGGCAACGACGAGTGTCCCTATCTTCCCCAGTCTTTACTGTTCCGTTTAGTTGGACAGCGCACAAACGACTGTCTACTGGGATCCAGTCTAAGAGAGCTAGTTCTGCCCTAGGACTCAATGCTATACCTACGCCGGCGAGGCCACGAGAAGCAGAATCAGGGCTTCCAGATACACGAAGTGTGAATCGAGTTGGTTCTTTATCTTGGCATGGTGAGGTCAAATGAATGATGCTACTCGGATCCTGTATACGCATTTCGGAGATGCAGCACACATCGATGGCGCGGGATTCTAAAGTCCTAGCTAAGGAAGCCTGCTGTCCTATTTGGCACAGTGTTCGGACGTTGAAAGCTCCTACGTGTAGTTTAGAGCGTGGTTTCAGGAGACCAGGAATAACGTTCCGCGTACTCGAATCGTTTGCCCTATCGGTGCGAGGTGATAAAGAGACATGAGGAGGGTTAGTCATGGAGATAAGAGAGGTATTCGGAGGTGTAGGAAGGATTTGAATGTGACCAACTTGGTGTCGTGTGCTGTTACGGGTATGAGGGCTGATATCACTTCCCGGCTGCCCACACCGTGGAAGAGTATTTCTTGAGGAACCTGATGAGGAAATTGGATTAGTGTTGGTCTTAACGACCTGGGAGCGTGACCGCAGAGCCCAGCGGACAACTGCTTGAGGCCGGTCGCGCACGGTTTTTTCGTGGAAGGTTTTTAATGTGTTAGCTCCGTTCTTCAAAGGGCCTTACCGCCGGAGACGGGAATCCGTGAGGTAAGGTGAGGTGTGACATTTTTAGGGTCGACCTTTTCTAACCCCACCCCTCCTTGTGGGAAGGCAGCATCGCTGCAGATGTTGGTTGTCTGAGGGAAACACCTTACTGCTGTCACACCCCTCTACAGTCAGCAGTACGACTTCGCCCTCAGACCTTGAGTTGCTGCTTTTAGTCTTACCGTTCTCCAATCGACCTGCCTGGCATGGTAGAACCTACAGGAACATATGTTCCAGCCAATATAGCTTGGTTGGGTCATCACGATAGGCAAGCCCGACCACCGCGTCAAGGTAGCAGCTTCGGTCGGTAATTCGTTCTTTAGTCTGCCGCAAGAGAGTTTACTTGTTGCTAGTATTGAGACGTTAGTTAACTATGATTCTGATTGATGTCAACGTATTATCGTTCCAATTATTAACCTACTTAATACAATCGTACTGTATTTTTCATGTCTTCTGTTTTTTCAAATTTCAGACCTTGTGATATTCTGAAAAAAGTGTAATGAAACTGGCATTCGTGTGATGAGTTCACTCATCTTACAAACAATATACTACTCCTCTTTAGGTAACTGGGTCAAACAAAGGCATTGGATATAGCATTGTTGAAAAGCTTGCAGAATTTTATGGGACATCAGGAGAGTGGGATATTTATCTAACAGGTAAGAAGTTGTTGGTTGATAATTTAACAGCTCGAAATGTTGAGCTTGGTCAGGAAGCTGTGGAGAAGCTCAGTAACAAGGGCCTGAATGTTAAATTCCATCAACTAGATATAACTGATCGAGATAGTCGAAAAGCGTTCCTAACATTTGTAGAGAGAAACTATCCTAATGGAATCAACATTGCAGTGAATAATGCTGGATTTGCCTACAAAGTTTTTGTTTTTTATTTTATATTATTCAAAGGTTAACTCCACGGCTCCCTTTGGCGAGCAAGCACGAGTTACGGTGAACACCAACTTCACATCAACCATTGATTTCACGGAAGAGTTCATTCCTTTGTTGGCTAAACATGCTAGGTACTAATTTATACTAATTTATATTTTTACAGGGTTGTCAATGTATCTAGTTCTGTTTCTCTAACCAGTCTCAAGAAACTTAGTGATGATCTTTACGAAAAGTTCGTTAGTCCAATAAATCTTTTGGAACTTCGAAAGCTCGTCTCCGAGTTTGTAAGGTAAGTCATTTTGTTCTAATTTAGGGAATAATAGATCAATAGAGCAAATAGTTCAACCAAGATTACCATAGTTACATCAAATATATTTTCATATCTGTTGGGTGTAACTTTTTTGTATCTAATCCACAGTGAGTTGCTGGAATAGCATTCTGATGAGATACCTTTATGTCTTTTTGTAATTGAAGAATGCATACAAAGTCATCAAACTCTTATCTGACAGTCGCATTACGTAATCGATTTGATGTGTAGTAGTAAAAGTAAAATATGATCGGTCGTTTAGCGTGGACAAACAGGCACTTAGCATACGGACTATTAAATATATGACATTATTTCCTGTCATGGATTTCTACTCCGGACTCACTGAGCGTGACTACTTGTGGTTGTATTGAATAAAGTATTATCTAGTATAATCTGGTTCTCTATTCTGAGTCATGAATCCTGAATCTCGTATAACGTGACTAGCCTCTTTATCGTATTGACATGCCATTGTAGAATACGTAAGAGTGAAAAAACATTTGAAACCGTACGTTATGTCACTATTCACAACAAATCCCTGTAACTTACGGTGCATTTATCCCAGGATTTCCTGATTGTTAGCAAAACCAAAGGGATGTTCCATCCTTTGACTTCCTAGAGTTGAGAATTACTAACCTTCATGTTTTGCACCGATCCATAATGGGTCATAACTTGTCATCAAATTATAACCAATATGAAACTTTTATCATTGTTCATTATTTTAGTGATTTAAATTCCCCTTCAATTGTTTTGTTTTAATTTTGATAGAGTTAACAAAAAGTGCCTCGTTTCAGTCATCTAATAATCCGTTTTTTAAAAGGTTTTGTTATGTTCCTTACGTTGACAACAATTATTTTTGTTCCGAGTTAACGTGACTTCGTAGTCCGTTGTTCAAATACTCACTTCCTTAGATTGGTCTGCGACGTTCTTGATTGGTAATTATATTTCTCTCCTTTATATTCTTACAACTTGTGTACTCCTGTTACCCCTCGTGGAGCATAGACTGCCCACCAGGTTTCTTCAACCGACTTTGGTCTGGGCTCTCCTTCCCGCTTGTTTCCGATCGCGATTCATTTTTTGATATCTGTCTCCGATTTCCTGCGCTATGTGTTCGTTGGTCTTCTTTTCCTGTTGCCCTTAGGTTTCCAAAATCCCTTAACTCCCAGAGGAGAATCTAAATGGTTTAAATGGTTTTTTTGATGGTTAGCGTTTTTTCATCATGGTTGTTTTTTACGGGATAGGTTTGCTGACGCTATGCCTAACCCTCCTATATCTGGACTTGGGACCGGCAACAACCCTAGAAGGGCTAACTAATTCTTTCTTCCCGTATCATATCTTTCAGTTAGTCAGTAACAACGTAGAACTTCGTACGTACGTACATTTCGAATTGCCATACCACATTAGCACAGAGATGCAGTTGTCGATTCAAATCCCGTAGTGGTAGAGGTCTCGACCGTCGTTGCTACCTTGACGTGGCGGTCGGGCTTGCCTATTGTGATGAAACAATCGAGCTATACTGTCTGAAACAATCGTTCATCAAGGTCCTGACATACCAGACAGGTCGGTTGAAGAACGGTAAGACTAAAAGCATCAAACCCAAGGTCCGAAGGCGAAGTCGTACTGCTGAGTGTACACAGGTGTGACGGCAGTAAGGTGCATCTCTCAGACAACCATCATGACAGCAATGCTGCCTTCCCACAAGGAGGAGTGTGGTTAAAAAAGGTCGACCCTAGAATTGCACACCTCGCCTTATCCCACGGATATCCGTCTCCGGCGGTGAGGTCTAAACAAGTACTGAGCTAACACGAAAATTACTCACAGAAAGGTCGTGTATGACCGACCTCAAGCAGTTGTCCCTTGGGCACTGCGGTCACGCTCTCAGGTCATTAAGAACACCTCTAATCCTATTTTCTTTTCAGGTACCTCTGGAAGAACCCTTCCACAGTGTGGGCAACCGAGAAGTGATAACCGCCTTCACATCTCTATCAGCACTGAAGACCACTGTATTCATAATCAACCTCTTTCTTCAGTCCCTATTATTCCTCGTATATCGACTTTCAACACTAAGCTTATTCTTTTGGCTTCCTCCTCAAGTATCACCATGGCCAACGATTCTAGTGCGCAAAACACTTACAGGTCTACTGAAACCTCTCTCCAAACTACACATTAGAGCCTTCAACGTACGCACCCTATGTCAAATCGGCCAGCAGGCGTCCTTGGCTGAGACTCTAGAATCTCGTACGATTGATGTATGCTGTGTCTCTGAAACACGCATACAGGATCCCAGTGTGGTCATTCATTTGACCTCACCTCGGCAAAACGGAGAACCGACGAGATACACCCTCCGTGTATCTATCGACCCGATGGCTATTTCTCGTGGACTGGCAGGTATAGGCATAGCACTAAGTACGAGGGTAGAACACGCAATATTAGAGTGAATTCCCGTTAACAGTCGTCTATGTTCTGTACGGCTAAACGGCTCCGTAAGAACCCGAAGGGTCAGGGACACACGTCGTTGCCCGTTCATCGTTTCTGCCTACACTCCCGCTGACTTCAGCTCAAATGAAGTTAAAGATGACTTTTACAGAAAGCTTTCTGAATAAGTTCAGAAAGCTAAACGCTCTGACATGGTACTTGTAGCAGGTGACTTTAATGCCCAGATAGGTAGTTTAAACCAAACAGAAAGACATTTAGGTGGGTATTTTAGTATACCGGCACAGCAAACAGATAATGGTGATCGTCTGCTGCAACTGTGCTCAGACAGTCGTTTATTTTTAGCAAACACAAATCTTAAGCATAAAGAGAGACATCGTCTGACATGGCGACCCCCTACACCAAACCAACGATGGACTCAAATAGACCATATTGCCATCAGTCATCGTTGGAGAGGGTCGGTAGAAGATTGTCGCTCATTCTGGAGTACCTGCTTAGACTCCGACCATGCTCTAATACGGGCACTCATCTGCTTGTGCCTCACTGGACGCAGGAAAGCCACACCAAGAAGTCCAACTAGAATTGAAATAAGTGATGAGAAAGCCGAAAATAGATTCCAAGTACAACTGAGGTCACACTTAAGTAGTTCTGAAAACGAGGCTGACCCAGATGTTGTGTGGAAAGCTATACAAACAGCTATAGAAACAGCAGTGACATCTACTAGTGATTTAAATCAAAGGATTACAAAAAACCAATGGGTTTCTTCTAGGTCTATTGCACTAATGGATTCTCGTAAACTCATCCCACCAGGCTCTGAACACGATGATAAGCGAAAGCAAATCAGATCTAGGTTAAGCAAAAGTCTAGGGAACGACCGTGAGCAGTGGTGGGCATCGAAAGCAAAAGAGATGGAAAAGGCAGCGGCTGTAGGTAACACAAGACAGCTCTTCAGACTCAAAAGAAACTGGAACTAAAAAGTCGAGTGTAAATGAGACTATTTCGAAAAAAGACAACACTCTTGTCTACTCTCAGCCCAGACGTTCAGAACGGTGGGAGGAACACTTTAGAGAACAATTTAGCTGGTATTCATCTACTCTACAACTACTCACCATTCCCAGACAGCCTGAAGGGAACATTGAAGTAGATCCCTCAACTCTAGCTGAAGTTCAAAAAGCTGTAGTCAATCTGAATCGGGGAAGAGTAGCTGGTTCGGATGGATCGGCTACAGAGGTCTTTAGGGATGGTGGTCCAATTTAAGTTGTTAGGTTGACTAATATTTAGCTAAAATCTGGGAGTTGGACGTAATCCATCTAAATGGTCACAATCACTGATTATCCCAATATATAAGAAGGGGTCAAAATCATCCTGTGATAACCATAGAGGGATTAGTCTGACTAATATAGCATCTAAAATACTAGCCTCAATAATTATCAGTCGTCTAACAAAGACTCGTGAACTAATTGCAAACACGAGAAAATCAGGCTGGCTTCAAACCTAGTTGTGGCTGTATCGACCATATGTTCACCATTCGTCAGGTTCTAGAACACAGGCATACTTATCGGCGTCCGACACTGTTGATCTTTCTTGACTTAAAGGCAGCATTTGGCTCCGTAGACTGCGAGATTCTGTGGCAGTGTCTGTCATTGAAAGGAGTACCTCAGAAGTACATAAACCTTGTGAAGGCTCTTTACTCGAATACTGCAAGTCGAGTGAGAGCTTATGGCGAACTGTCATCTGCTTTTGCAACCTCAAGTTGTGTCCGTCAAGGCTGTCCACTATCTCCATTTTTGTTCGACTTCGTCATAGATATACTGATGGAAATAACGTTCCGGGCATTGATCTCCTTCCAGGAGGTCCACTTATTGACTCAGAATACGCAGATGACATAGTTCTGTTTGGTAAAGAATCTGATAAAAATCCAGCGTCTTTTGGTAGCACTAAGCAGCAGTGCCAGAATGTTTGAAATGCGCTTCTCTCCCTCTAAATGCAAGTTGTTGTTTCAGGACTGACTGGTCTGCGTCAACACCTGAACTAAGGATAGGGAATGAAGTAGTCGGACTCGTCGACAACCTCGTTTATCTTGGAATTCTGATTGGCTTTAATGGATTGGTGTATGACGACATCTCTGCATGGATTCGAAATTCTCGTTTCGCTATCGCCAACTTACATCACCTATGGCGAAGGCGAGATATCCGTCTATCAATAAAAGGACGAGTATGCTGCGCGACAGTTCGTTCTGTTTTACTTTACGGCTGCGAAACGTGACCATTAAGAGTAGAAGATACTCGTCAGCTACTAATATTTGACCACAGATGCCTTAGAAATGTTGCTGGCGTCTGCTGGGATCACCGGGTAAGTAATAGTGTGGTTAGACGTAGAGTATTAGGGAATTATGGTAAATGAGTTGATGAGGCTTTGAATCTTCACCGACTGAGATGGTTGGACCATGTATTGCGTATGCCTGAACACCGATTACCACGACACGCAAGGCTAACTGGTGTTGGGGATGGTTGGAAGAAAGTCAGGGGCGGCCAAACCAAAACGTGTCATCGGTGCTTGAAGTCACTAAATTCTGGTCTGAGCCATGTTGGTAGATGCAGACTACTTGGTTGGGGTCCGCGTGACTATCGTAACCAATGGTTTGAGACTCTTGGTGATATGACTCAGAATCGATCACAATGGCGTCGGTGTATACACTCTTTGTCTTCCCTTAAACCGCGAGATTAAAGTCGCTTTATATCTTTCTTTCTACGAACTAATTCTTTCTTCATATACTATACCCTTATACACAGTCTTCCTTTTGTACATTAATACCATTGTAGTAACTACTATGAATTTGTTATTCATCATGTTATACTAATGAGGTGTGGCAACTTGGACTGATGCATATATGTGCCTGGTCCTACGTTTTAACTGACTGACCGAGATATTTTTTAAGTACATTATTGTATGAGTTTTGGGTCATAAATGAATGTGGTACATTAGAGAACTGATCTGCTTTCTACCTTCGTTTTCTCTTTATTCACTGGGTTGGATGAAGTTTGTTAAAGTATTGATTGCTGTTAATTAGTTGATGTGTCAGCCGGTTAATAGGTCATCAGTCCTATTAAGAATATAGGTGAACTAATCGATAATCGGACCAGAGAGTAACCATTCAACTGCTTTCGTGCCTTTATGATCTGATCACACTTGACCTAATATGATCTAACACAAGGAAACAACCTTTGGTTTTCTTCCGAAATAACAGTGGCGACAGCGTTGGTCTAAAAATTTCAGTTTTTTTGTTGCAGCTGTATGGTCCCAGTTACAACTCAGTTTTCAGTGCAAGTTATCACTCAAGTCCAGTTTTCAGGTATAACCAAACTACTGTTTTCAAGTCTCAGTTAGAGATCTAAAAATCTGTTATTTTCAGTCACAAAAGTAAAACCAATTCTCCAATTTAATGATGTGTTCATTAAATCTCATTTCTCATCAGTTTATTGAAAGAGCATGTGTTCAAGCGACCAAATCTGGAATCACACTCAGAAACCATATATATATATATATATATATATAATCTGATAAATTTCCAGCTGAAATATAGAACGGTTGCGAGTTACAGAAAGAGGTCAGCAATATCCTTAATAAGATAAAATCTGGCCAATGTCCAGACAATCTTATATCAGATTCCGGTCATACTAACGATTTAATCATGTTGAGTAAAAGTTAAAATTATTGTGAGACAAATTTTCTGAGATCCTAAAATATAGCACAGCGACACCGACCAAATCACACTCGATAGAGAAGCTCTGGAGAAGGCGGAAATTTTACGCACCGGAACTGCATTATTGATAAAGAAGGGTAATGTGATACAGATGTGAAGCCACGGATTGGTAAAGTAAGGACAGCATCCCTACAGTTGAAGAATATCCGGAACTCAAAACAACTGTCAGCCATTGTCGGGTTCAGAATTTTTAGTGCAAATGTCAAGACAGTTCTATTGTACGGAGTTGATACTTAGAGAACTACCACAGCAATCATCAAGAAGGTACAGGTATTTATAAATGATTGTCTACGCACGATACCTCAAGTCTATCTACCAGACTAAATCATCAGTAACCTACTGTGGCGGGAAACAAACTAACTTCCAGATGAAGAGGAAATTAGAAAAAGACGTTAGAGGTAGATAGGACATAACTTGTGAAAATCATTAAGCTGCATCACAAGGCAAGTCCTATCTTAGGATCCTTATGTCAGAAGGGAAAACGGCATGCCGAAAGACACATAGCTCTGGAAATTGGAGACAGACATCGAGACCATGAGTAGCACTTGTGAACCACTGGGAATGTGAGCGTATAACGGAGTTGCTTGTAGCATCCTGATCGGCGACCTATGGTTCACGTGGCGTAGGAGGCGTAAGTAAATGAGTAAGTATGAAGCTCCTAAATGTTAGTCATGGCAGAAAAATCATCGAGTAACTAGTCTTGAGGTGTTATCCTGTTTACTATCATAGCCGGTTGTATTTGTATCAAAGGTGGCTACTCTAAACCGTTGCGGTTGCGGTCAGTAAATTTACTGATCGCTGTTCAAGCAGTATGTAGGGTGTTGATTCCTACTAAAGCTTTCACTGAATAACCAAAGTAACATGGGTTTTTCGATAGACTGGAAAATGAAAACCTTCATCTTAAACTACCAGTGTAGATTGGCTTCTTTTGATCCATATATAGAAGCGATTATCGTCCCTAGTATATTATTTCCTAAATTTATTTCCTGTTAATTTTTCAGTATTATTATTTTGCGAGGTGACTATATCCACCTAAATATTGAATTAGCTTTTAATCCTTCTAGATTTATTTACTGGGTAATTGGTTTTTGTTCAAATCTGTAATTAGGTCCGCTGAGGATGGTACTTATTCTGAAAAAGGTTGGCCACAAAGTGCTTATGGTGTGTCTAAAATAGGCCTTACAAAGGCTTCATTTATTTTCGGTGAAATGCTGAAAGATGATCCAAGAGGGATTGTGATAAATTCGGTTAGTTTGTTTTGTTGATATTGTGATGGTTTGTGTTTATTTTTATGTAAATTGTTCTTATCTTAAGATTAGAATAGTATTCGTTTTGTAAAATAAAATACCAGGTAATGCAGTGATTATATACAAATCCATTAATAGTTCAAATTAACTATATTTATCAATAACGAAGTAACTGATTATCTTGTTATTATGTATTGCATACTTTTTCGTCAATCCAAAATGTGGGAAGCCACAATACGTGCTTGTAACTTTTTTGAGCTGTAAGACTTGGGTGTCGTGATCTTATTGGTTTGTTGATATCTTAGTTCTATAACGCTCGGTTTTCCCGTCTGCACGAATGAGACGTTATTTTACCATGAACGAATATCTACTCTAGTGACCCTTTCAGTGTTTATTCTATAGTACTTCAGCACGACTCAGATCAAGAACACGTGATTAGCCTAACTATATCATAAGTATATTTCCACACCAAAAACCAACAATTACAGTAATAATAAGGGTAAGGAATTATATAACTCATCTAATATCTGTCAGACTATCTACTAGTTTGACTAAGCAAACGACCAATCATTAATTTCCTCGCCTACACATCACTTAGTTCTTGAGATTCTAAAATAAATTACTCAAGCATCATAATAATTTTATTTGTGTAATTAAGTTGCACTAAATTTTCGTCGCGTTGTTATAGGGAGTTTTATTAAAAACTTTCATTTCTTTTGAAATGAACTGTTGTTTATACTTGTCAATGTTCATGGGTGCAGTTTTTTCCATAAATTTTTCCATGACATAAAATTAGATTTGGCCCTTTATATATTGATAATTGAATGAATGTAAACACTACTATTTACTACTGAAAAAATCAACTTTATCATGAGAGTTTATGTCCACATTCGTTAAAATGAGAACGAACAATTCGTTTGTAAACCTTATTTATTTTTGATAGTCCTGATTTCAATTATTTCGCTGAGGAAACTCAAGTCAGTTTGTCGGGTGAAACGCTGCAATTTTCTAAATATCAGTTGGTTGAGGTTATTTCAGACATAAGTTTTACAGATATTAAAAGCATTAACTTAACAGGAAAATTGCTCCATTTAAAGCAAAAGTAGTTTTCTAGAGTTTTCTAATAAGGTTGTCACATTTTCAAACTTGAATACATTCTCATTAGTCAAGTTTAGAAATATCTATATAAAAGTTGGATGAATTAACCTGACTTATGATGTATAAGTTCTAGATTGGTAGCAAATGATATCCATTCTTGAATTACAATCAGAGTAGCATAGAACGAGAAATAATTCAATCAAGTTATTCGTTGGATTTATTCATGTAATAATGAATTGGTTACCACATCATATTATATAAAGTTATCTTTGTTAGTTAACATAAGAATATCAATAATATAGTTATCCTTTTCCTCTAAAAACTGACAATTTGTATTTAACCTACTTCCATCATTTTCTTTGAGTTTGATATTCTTTGAGCTCTATGTGTTTATGGTTAGTTTTGAGAGCATCTATTTATCCTTATTTCTTAGTTAATTAGTTCGAACAAAGTGATCTTTAAAATGCTAATTATTTGCAATTTCAACATGTACGCCATTTAAGGGAAATAATATTCTTATCCTATGTACTTAAATTTAATTCTTAAGATTATTTTCTGTTGAATTTATCGTTCATGAATGTTGTTCTACGTAATGATCACATACAGTAATAAAACAATTTGTTGATCCCAAAATTTAAATTAGGTTATTTAAAAGTTTGTTTCCAGATTAAAATTACTAGTTTTTCATCACACCTGATATAATCATATCAAAAGAATTAATTTTGAGTTTTTTTATTATTAATTTGACAGTGTTGTCCTGGTTATTGCGATACTGATATGACTAGTCACAAGGGAACCAAAACAGCTGATGAGGGTGAGTGTCTAACTGTTTTTTTAGTCAGAACCTCTAAACGTTCGCATATCTGTTGTGATTTTTACTTTTGTGATATAGTTAATACTTGAGGAATTGAGTTACACTCCTAACGTCAATAGAAAATAGATATAACTGACAGTCGTGATATAAACCGATAAATAATTTCCAAAGAATCATTTTATTAATGCAGATATTATTTTCCTTTTCTATCTATCATTTTTTAATGACCACGCATAACATGTCCAATCAGTTCGTAAGCTTATTTAATTATTTTACTGATTGTGTGTAAGAGGTTTAATTGTTATAAAAAGACATGTTCTTTCTTATATATGATCTCCATAATGTCGAAAGGACCGTCCAAAGTACCTCGTACACAACTGTTACCTTAAAATGTAAATAAGCAAATCTATCCACTCTAACAAAATTCCTGAATATAATATTGCTAACTTCGTTAGTGTTTTCGCAGTAATCGAACCTTTTGATCACACGATTAAGTGACCTGTAAAGTCTGGTGATCAAAAACTCAAGTTTTTCCGAAAATACTATACTGTTATAATGAAAATGCATGGGATGGATTACAAACATCAATTTGCGAAGGGCTACGGTACTTACCGTGTTGGCATAATCATAGAAGGCTGCTTACTAAAATCGACTTAAGGTTACTTGTTACAACATGGAATAAGCAAATGACAGTTGTTAGCTGTGTCGAAATTACAGTAGCAGACAATTTCAAAAGGAAAACGAGAAACCCTTGAAATCTTAGTTTTTATGATAAAATAAATGTTTAGTGAATACGATTGAATCTGGAGTAAATTATTCAAGTATTAGTAAAATGAAGTTATAACAATAAATAAATTGAATGTCATCATTCTATGTAAATACATAAAACATTATACAATAACTGGTAGACATAATACTCAAAGCGCTTAAAAGGACTGAGGATAAACTCTACTCTCGTTCGCAATTTTAACATGGCACCTGACAACCAACAAAATTGAAGCGAGGATCATCATTAATGCTATCGTAGAGCATGTTTCGTTCTTTGTCATTTTTGCTGTCTTGCGTGAAAAATCTCAAGTTTTCTATGACGAAAATGCCACTCCATCATGCTACGGTGTCAAGTGTAGCACAGTCATTTATGATAAAAAAGAATGCAACACAGCAAAATTCATACCTCCAACTAATTCTGTAATGGAAACTATTCCAAAATATCTACAATTGAGTGACCAAATAAACTAAAACATAACTGTAGTTATTGACTACTATACACTTAGATAACAACGTGAGGTTTATCTCCTGCCCTCAAAAGTTATTAAAAATAAGACTGATCACTGAGAATTAGTAAGTATTAACATACAGTATACAGAAGAGAAACGGAAAAAAGAGAATACAGACAGGAAATACAGATCTGACAATTATAATATTAGTAAAAGGTAGTGAAAGTTCTACAGATTCTGTGTAAATGACAGGACGGGCGTAATGTTATTAAGTTAACACTAAATTATAGTATTAATGTAGTATGATAATTTAAATATTTTGTTACAATAATTAAAATCACTGAATGAATTAAACGAAACGATATCAAAAACATTCAAATATAAAATAATGAAGATTTAATAGATAATATTAAATAAGGTAGTTTTTCAAATTAAAAATCAACGAAATAAAAAGTTAATTACTGATTGTTTTGTGCAACGAAGCCTATCTTATTCTTATCTTTAAAGTGATCTCACAACATAAATAAAATAATATATTTGTAGTATCCCAATGAGTAGAAAAATTAAATATAAAATATTTGTCCTCTGAAGAAATAGCTTGCACGAAGTCACGAAACGTCAGAAAATCTAGTTTTTTTACTCATTGAGATACTACAAATATATTATTTTATTTATAACAATCTACCCAATGCTCAATTTATTCGAAGTTATCAAGTGGCCTCACAACGTTATCATTATCATATTTTCATTTAATTGATTTTTTATTTGAAAAGTTTTCCCGCATTATTGTTTATCATATTCTCAAAATTTTTTCACGTAATTATGTCTAATATTATTTCATTTAATTCTTCCAATGGCTTTAATTACTGTGGCGAAAACATTTTATTCATCATATTCTATTCACACTACAACCCAATATTAGCTTATTAATTTTTCACGCCTTTTTGTTTGCACATCCTGTAGAAGTCACATAGGCTTATGTATATAGTAATAACAACCCTAATGATACATAATACGTTTCCATGAAGTAAGAAATGGATCTCTATTCATTCGGACCTTTTTTAAAACATTTCTTTCCTCATTTCATGCAGTCTAGCATGCAGCCAGTAGCCACTCCTTAAAAATAAATGGAACACACAACGCAAGACAAGACATTTAGAGTTGAGGCTGAACATTATCATCCTGTGCGTTGTGCCACGAAGTTCGTGTTATTTTGCATTAAGAGCATTTCTCATGGTTCAAACTCTTAATGTGAAAGTTATTTTTTGGGTTGTGGGAAAATGTTAAATTGTCGTCTTCAATATCGTTTTTGTTAGAGTTGAATCTACACAAATTTGTGCATTAAGGTAAGTTTACACTTACCGTCCAGTGTTTTTCGTATGCATTAGACAAAAAAATTGTCGAAATGTTTTAGATGAGATATTCTATGAGTGACTTGTTAGTTAAACACAGTAAACGTACCTCTTCCTTCCCCGAAGGAGATTACGTATTACATGTATTCTACATAATTCAGTTAGTCCGTGGTCTTGAGTGCTGTTAGAGATATTAGGACAGTTTCCACTTTCCAGTTGCCCATACCGTGAAAAGGTTCTTCTAGAGGTACCTGAAAAGGAAATAGAGTTAAAGTTGGTCTTAGTGACATGAGAGCGTGACCACAGTGCCCAAGGGACAACTGCTTGAGGTTGGTCACACACAACCTTTTTGTGAGTAATTTTCGTGTTCTGTACTTGTTGGAACCTTACCGCCAGAGACGGATATCCGTGGGATAAGGCAAGGTTTGCATTTTTAGGGTCGACCTTTCCTAACCCCACCCTTCCTTTGTGGGCAGACAGCATCGCTGTCATACTGGTTGTCTGAGAGATGCACCTTACTGCCGTCACATCTCTGTACAGTCAGCAGTATGACTTCACCTTCGGACCTTAAATTTGCTGCTTTTAGTCTTACCGCTCTTCAACTGACCTGTTTGACATGGTAGAACCTTAAGGAACGATTGTTGCAGCCAGTTTAACCCGATTGGTTCATCACGATAGGCAAGCCCGACCACCAAGTCAGGGTAGTAGCAACAGTCGGGATTCTACATAACACATAATGCGCTTGCGAAAAGTTGGCAGATAGTGCATTGTTTATGGCGGGGCTGTTGTCATTGATGAAAAATCCCACAGGTATCCCTGACGAAACTGTCTTAAGAAAGACTAAGAACCTACTAGTCAGCTCGGAAGTTTCTCTATCCATAAATCTAAATGCTACCCCCATTGTCTTCATGAAAGCATCTAGTGCCACTATTTCGTATAGAGACATACCATTCTTACTGCAGTTGTAGGTAACATCAAAATCTATGACATCGGAAAATCGACGAGCTACATTGTTTTGATATAATTTTGGAAAAATGTACTGTTACAGAAAACCGTTCACTTCACGATGTGCCTCAAAATTACGTACGGATTAGAGATAATCAGGGTTACACTGACCTGGAATTTTCGATCGTTCAAATAAACTGTCGCATATCAAAGACATCGGCGATTATTTTATTTACGTGACTTTCACATACAAAATCGATGACAACAAAAGCGGCATGTTCGAAGATCAATAAAGGATGAGTCATATTCTTCTGTTTGGCTGTCAAGCGATCAAATTGGTGGTCTTTCTCATAATTGCTACTCAGCAATTCGTGATAATGATTCATTGACCATCTGGATACTGCATAGAAGCCTTCTATCAGCCAAAAAATACTTAGGATTCACGAACGTTACCAACAGGATCTCTAGATGAACGGTTAAAACTTCGCTTTGAGACAGAAATTTATGTCTCGAGTTGTTGGTCACAGAGGGTGACAACTACGCTGAGTAAAACTGATATTCCTAATGAATCTTTTGATTGAACGCTTGAATCGGTTTTCTAAACTCTTCTAGTAACCCCTAAGTTAAATGTACACGACCACTTGAACACAAGAGAAAAAGCGCAAGCCATGTAGAGAACGCTTTACTCAAAATTTAGTTTATGTACAGAAAATTGAAGGTATTTATAGTATTTCAGATAGGCCTGAGCTTCTGCAGATTATCAAACCCTACGAAACATAGTAGCAGGATAGTTAATCATCCAATCAGAAATGTGGTACGTGACTCTTCACTTTCTAGATGTTTCTGAAATGCTTCTATTCGATGCTGATTGAATAAAGTGCTTGCTAGAGTTTCCAGGGCTCCTTTAGATATTTTTCGAGGAATATCCTGAGTCTCCCAAACACCTTCCTCCTTTCAAAAATTAAACTTCTTTGGGTCTAATTGCAGCTTGATAACTGGTTTCTGGCGGCGTTCCGATTTCCTTGGTGTCCTGTAACTACGAATGTCCCTGGGCGTTCCTGTAATTGGGTTATCTGCAAGTATCTCCATTGGATGACTCACTCGTCTGTCTACAGTGTTCAACGTCCTTTTTCTGTGTGGATTTGGTTGATGTATCTAATCCACCTTCCAATTGTCCCACGCATTTTGTACAAAACATTTCCCATTCTTTTTCCAATGTCTACAGGTTCCCATCGATTTTTTCCAAGGTATGACTTGATGACCATTATATCACTCACATTAAAACTTCAGATATTCTGATGTAACTTACATACGTTAACTGATTTAGGTGGCAACGTGGCGTCGCGTAGGGTTCGAATACTTCTTTCGGACACAGCTTCATCAAGAGACTTCCCATCTGGGACAATAGGGTTGGGCCCAGTTCTGTAAGCTGTTAAAAAATTTGCAATTACCTGAATCGTCCCCTCGTCTCTCTTTCAGTAATGCTCTTTTGAATGTATCGATAAAGCTTTCTGACTGTCCATTTGACTGAAGGTGATAAGGTGGAGAGTGTATATGTGTAATTCCGCTAATGATGCAGAAGTACTTGAATGATTCTGAAGTGAATTGTGACTCGTCGGTTACCAAAGTCTTCGGAACTCCAAGACAGTTAAGCAATTCAAATAATTTACTGATCGTTTCATTGGCTGTGCAATTTACCATAGTATAGATTTGTGGCTATTTCGTAGGTACATCTGCTATGACTAAAAACTATTTTCCTCCCACTGGGCTGACAAGATCTGCATGTAGGCTCTCCCAGGGACTACTGCACATTTTTGTTGTTGTGGTTCACATTTATTTGGACTTATGGTTGCTTGCAGGTGAGATGAACAATCGCGGTATTCGATATCTTGAGCCATTGTAGACCAGTAAGCAAATCTTCGAGCCAATAATTTCTTGTTGATGCCGGAATGTACATTGTGGAATCGACGTTATTTTTTTTGGACAACGATTTCGTCAGTGGACATAATAAATGAGTCAAAAATCATGAATGTGTCCCGTCGGCGAAAATACTGTAGCAGTTCTCCTTGAAAACGACTGTTTGACTACTTGGTGAGAAGATAACCCGTAACTTCTCTTAATGTCTTGTCATCATCCGTGGCTTCTTTGATAGCTTTGGAAGTAACTGGTAAACCATCGACTGCATCTTACAATACTCAGTGTACTTCTGTTTCCATCTCAATTGCTGCCACAAAAGTATCTTCCTATTTTACGTGTGAACCAATCAGTCTAGACAAAGCGTCAGCCTGTTCAAAATCAGTAGTGGGCTGGTACTTGAAGTCATAACTCAAGAGTGTGGTTTCTTATCGTTGCAGTCTGTTTGCTTCATATACCGGAATCCCTTTCTCCGATCCAAATATGGTCAGCACTTGCTTATGATCAGTCAAGCACGTGAACTGACGTCCAAATGTCATCTTGTGAAACTTTATGGCGAAGATACTTGACAATGCTTCCTTCTCTATCCGGCTGCAGTTACGTCCTGTTGTAGTTAACGACACAGCTGCATGTGATATTACTTTCACAGATCCATCGGGCATGATGTGAAAAGTAATTGCCCCAATGTCGTAGTTCGAAGCGTCTGATGCTACCGCAATTGGTAAGGATGTATCGTATTGGGCAAGCAACAGATCCGAGACTAGTTTTTTAATTTTCTCAAAAGCACCTTGACAACTTTTCGACCAATCCAATTTTATGTTCTTCGACAGGGTCTTATTTAACGGGGCACGTAGGCGATGAAGGTTAGGAATAGATGCACCGTAATAGGTCCCATAAAGCAGCGTAGTGCGAGGACATCCGTCGGTCTAGGCATAGCTTCCACTCTCTGGGTCTACCCAGCAATTCCTCAACCAAATCCTCCCTTTTTATGGGTATTATAATAAGGATTTAATTGACAGGATAAAATGACGCCTTGATTGATGGGAGAAGGGTCTAGGTGAATAGTGGTTGGAGACAGGGAGATTAATTAGCTAACCTTTCTTCACAATCATTAAACTCGTTCAAGTAATTAAATGAAAGGTTACTAATATCTGTGTGTAGTCAGTTTGAATTACATAAGAGATATAAAATTAATATCGTTTCTCTAGTAATAGGATCGACGTGTAAATCGCTATTTAGCCACCTGTCTCGGTAATTGGTTAACACGTTTCCTATATGTATCAATGATTTCGTTGATAAATCAATCATTAAAAAGAACATTTAGAAAACTGTCGATACACACATACAAACATTTGTGTAATCATATTCATAAAATATTTAGTTTTCTGTACTGTGGATCACAGAACTACTCAACATTCTATGAATTCGTATACTTTCACAATATAATCTAGCTACGACACTTCATATTGAAATTAGCTGTCAGTTGCGCAAGTTCCAAAATTGTAACTCATGCATCTTCCCATATCTTTTACCGGGAGATATTTTTCAGAATATTTCCAAATATAACGAAGGATGACAGTATGCCTCTTAAGTTTCTTTTGGTCATTATCTTGTTTGTATGATTTGAGGGATTTCATTTATCAGTGATTTGCACCTGACTAATATTAAGTTTTTGTTGTGTTTATTATTTTAGGTGCTGATACACCTTTTTACTTGGCCACTTTACCTATTGAATCAAAGGAACCAATTAATCAATTCGTTTACGAAAGGAAGGTGGTCAGGTGGTCTAAATGATCTTCAGGCCAATTTTACGTTTTTCGGGAATGTAAACAGAATGTTATTGACTAGTTTTACTATTTCGCAATCTGGATCACAATATTTTCTTGACGTGATTCTTCTACTAATAGTAATTTTTCTTACCTATTACTGTGTTTTCCCTTGGTACCTCACGTGTTATTATAGGATTTATAATTTTATGAGTTTATCTAATTCGTTTCAGTAAGATTCATCCTCATATTAAGAGTTCATTCCGGCCGATGCATATAATTTCAGTGTGTTTTTACGTGGTGTATGTTATTTCTTGACTGTATGTGGTCGTTTGAACGTCTGTATTGCCATTTGAGCAGGATTCGTACTACTTAACGGTGTTAATACACAGACGATGCAACCATACAGATCAGCTAATAACCTAATCTTTATGAAACAGATGTCCAACCGTGTTGTTCATCGATCACGTGATATTTTTAAGTTCTTGATTTAGTGACTCGCTTTTAAGGTATGTTATCTTTATTTACAGTGTGTTTACTATTGTATAACGTGGACCAGGTATGTGTCACGCAAACGTAGAAATCTTACTGCAAAGTGATAAAAGCCGTATGGGTCGTACGATCAGTGGGTGAGCACGAGAAGTGCTTATCTAAGAAAATACAAGATACATTACCTTCTGTTTGTAACTGCCATTTTTTGTGTTATATATATAAATTTTCACAACCAGACTAACATCACGAAGGCACCAACTACTGGTCGGGTTGACATAAACCATTATCCCCCCTATGAGTTGAGTGATGCTGTACCCCATCGCCAAATCTGGCAAGAGTACAGATATTTCAGTTACTTCCAACTATTTCCCATAAGGAGTATTTTCAGAGAGAATCCTCCTATTGTTCAAGCAGTACTAAACTTTTGGAAGCTGAAAATTGTGTGCTTTCTATACGAGTACTAGTTTCCGATAAATACGTGCTATGTGGGTGGCCACAGTCTCAGTTATGCAATTTTATATGCTTACTCAGATTCGTTCTACTTGTACCATTCACACAACTACCTCAGACCTGTTTGTAGATTGTGGCAAGCCCATTTGGCCACTGTACCATTTGTCTATTCATTGTAACTCAGACTCTTAATTCGGTGTGTATGATCGAATGCATGTCTGTACATTAACTCTTAAGCTATCCTTCTATTGGTTTCAATGTGCAGATAATCGATAATTTATCCACACCCGATTGACTCTCAAAAAATATATATGGATTTTTAACACACACACTCCCGGTTTCATCGTGTGCTTGCTCACCGTACGCTTGTGGATTTTTATTAATCATTAACAATAAACTATCTCTATAACTGGTGTTCAGGCTTCTCAATAATATCGAGTAAATCCGCAATTCTACTAGGAGATTAAGCCTACCTAAAATACTCAGTTTACGGGATATTATTTATTGGAGTCAGATATTGAGGACATTAGCCTCAACAAGATCGACCTCGTTGGGGGAGTTGAAAGAGTAATAAAATTTGTCTCCCTTTTCGACTGAACAGGTGAACTGGAACAGTTGAGGAGAGGTTTACGTATGGCTCCTCTCGTTTTCAATGGTAAGCTTGGCGCTAGCTGTCTTTAACAAACTCTCAGAACACGGTCTTTTCTCGATATCAAGAAACTCAACTATAACTAGTGTCTTATGATTATCCCTGTATTAGAGGATTTAATAGGGGGTGAGGATGTAATTCAATCAAGACCTGGAAAGATTGATTTTGTAGTTAGCCTCAAACGTAGCTTGACTTGGCATTTATTGCCAGTCTGTTTTGTTTGTATCGATCAGTTGTGGAAAGTAGGCTCTCTGACCATTCACAAGTTAAATTTAGCGAATGCCACACCACTATCAGAAACATGATTGATGTCCTACAAAAAGTAAAAGCCTTGAGAACACCTGGGTAATCAAATTAATGCTTATTTTGATATGTATATATATAACGAAGATATTTTATAACAAATTGTCCAAAAGTTTTCGTTACTGTTTGGATTTTGTTTCTTGACTGGCCATCCAGTCGGTAATCATCATTACATGGACGTTCATCCTGAAAACTCAGGGCTCCAAGTAGCAGCACAATATTTCACGAATTATTTTCAATGAGGCAATTCACTGAAAGTCAAAACAAATCACTTATGGTCATCACAATTGATTGATCACTGGGTGGTGATCAATCTCATGCTTGTCTAGTCCTTATTAGTGCAGATCGAATGCTATCGATCATGTTGCAATGTGGCCACCAGTCTAGGTGACTCGACACTGCGGGCACTATGTAATGAGATTAGATGGTGGTTGGAGGTAGTCAACAGGAAACCCTGGACCCGGGTTTCGTGCTACTTGGCACTCGTCAGCAAGGTGTACCTGTAATCTTGAGGGAACTGGTGCTCCCTGGCGGATTCGATCTCGTGTCACCCAGCTTCACAGTCAGAGACGTTACCACTGAGCTATCCGAGCCGTGACTAACCTCCTGTAGGACTGAGATGTAATCACAATTGATTGATCACTGGGTGGTGATCAATCTCATGCTTGTCTAGTCCTTATTAGTGCAGATCGAATGCTATCGATCATGTTGCAATGTGGCCACCAGTCTAGGTGACTCGACACTGCGGGCACTATGTAATGAGATTAGATGGTGGTTGGAGGTAGTCAACAGGAAACCCTGGACCCGGGTGGTGATCAATCAATTGTGATTACATCTCAGTCCTACAGGAGGTTAGTCACGGCTCGGATAGCTCAGTGGTAACGTCTCTGACTGTGAAGCTGGGTGACACGAGATCGAATCCGCCAGGGAGCACCAGTTCCCTCAAGATTACAGGTACACCTTGCTGACGAGTGCCAAGTAGCACGAAACCCGGGTCCAGGGTTTCTTGTTGACTACCTCCAACCACCATCTAATCTCATTACATAGTGCCCGCAGTGTCGAGTCACCTAGACTGGTGGCCACATTGCAACATGATCGATAGCATTCGATCTGCACTAATAAGGACTAGACAAGCATGAGATTGATCACCACCCAGTGATCAATCAATTGTGATTACATCTCAGTCCTACAGGAGGTTAGTCACGGCTCGGATAGCTCAGTGGTAACGTCTCTGACTGTGAAGCTGGGTGACACGAGATCGAATCCGCCATGGAGCACCAGTTCCCTCAAGATTACAGGTACACCTTGCTGACGAGTGCCAAGTAGCACGAAACCCGGGTCCAGGGTTTCCTGTTGACTACCTCCAACCACCATCTAAATCACTTATGGTATTGTAGCTTACATCAGAATGTTAATAAACCGAATTTGCTAAGGGACGTTACTGACAAAGCCAGTTTCTTTTCACATTGTTTAGATCATTTGACCTAGAAAAATTAACTGTTTTTGAGGATCCAGTTACTTTGTACTCGCTACACTCTAGTGCGCTAGGTGACACTAGCGAAGCCTAGTGTCAGTACTACATAGAGTTTCGTGGGACTAGTTTTCCGAACCATCCGATGGAGAGCAAACTTATAGTGCTTCTCCAGAATTGGGAGTTAAGGTTCCTGGCTTAACGAAAAACGGTAATGAAACTTTCGAATGACTGAAACTTATCTGTTTCCCGGTTGTGGTGTTTTTACTGACTGATGATTCCTTCGTACTTAAGTTGCGTTATTTCTGGGATTCCTAGCTTTTACTATAATTCAAATATTCCTAATTATCACAGATAACAAACACTGTAATTAGGATTTTATAAAGTTAAGTGTTTTTCTAACGATCGGCAATTTTGAAGGGTATTTCCCACATCTATAGGCGATCATTTATCTCTCTTCGTTTGTTTCATGACTTTTTTTGCTGACACGGAGCACAGAATCCATTCATTCAAATAGTTTGTTATTGATTGTAATTCCTCATACATGGATTTGTAGGTCTTTTTAGTGAAACAGGATGTCACTACTGGGATCAAAGAATTTGAAAAGGCTTAAGTTACGTTGCCTACATTAGCTTCTTCAGAAGATTTTGGTGCTTTACTTAAAGGTTTGATAGCTGTGTGCAATAAAGACAGTGGATGGATTAAAATTTAGCCTATAAAACTATAAGTACAGGATGCTCCAGTCTTTCTTAGTGATATGAATGAATGATGCGAAATTGCATCTTTTTTACTTAGTGTGATTTTCGTTCAACATCGTTCCCGTATTTTAATTTCATATGATGTTTATTCAAAGAATATTTGTTTGTTTTTCAGTGTGGTATTTTATTTAGCGTAACACTAATGTATTTGATTGTGATATTAATTCAAGACACGATATACTATGAACTATGCTCAGCATGATATGCAGTATGTGGCTTGTCATAACTCTGAGAATTTTCTTAAATATGTGATTTCATTCTACTTAATATTCAATACAGATAAACCATTGTATACATCGGTTGTGTTTGTCGTGTTTTGGCTAAAAGAAATCTTCACTTGTACCAGTTTTGGTGCGCGTAGGTAAATAAATCCCCGAAATCAATAGTTGATGAATAAGGAAGTCAGTGAACTTGAAGGCGTTTAAGTTTGTCAAGATGATCTCATTGTTCATGGTTCTGATAAGGTGGTTCATGACCAGAGTATTTTTGCTTTAGTGCGTTGTTTAGTTGAGAATATTACGATGAGTCCGAATAAGTGCCCATTTTATGTATTTGATTCTGGATCTATTGGACACCTAGTTGACGGTAACGGTTTTAAACCAGGTGCGGTGCAACCACATCTTTTGACAAATATACCGTCTTACAGAATTGCGTTCATCAATGGGTTATCTTCAGTACACTTATTTATTAAAATACACATTTTATACAAATTTACGGACTTAATGCACAAGGCTGAAGCTTATTGTTAATGTTCCCAATAATCGTAGATGGGATGAGCTTCCATTTTGAACTTTTGTTGTCGTTCCATAGTTTGAAACCTTAAGTATCCCGTGAAAATTAAAATATTTGAGATTTCAGCAGCTCTACAGGGTTGGCAGTTGCATAATAATCCTCGAAAATATGACGCGAATGTTCGGTTACTGGTAATATGTAAGTTAAACGAGGGAAGACTAAGTCCTTTCTATCTGTTCTGATTTGTCATCTGGATTTCACAA